TGGTGAATGAATATTTCCTGAGTACTCACATGAGTAACTGAGTACTCACTGAGTAACAATACTCAGAAATTGTTAGTAGTACCAATATGAGTACTCATGGACGAATTATGAGTAAAGTCGTACTCATTGTATGAGTACTTTCACTAGGGCAGTGACACTTTAATACCGTACAGTAGGCTTAAAGTAACTTTCGTCTATATAATCTGATAGAGAAAAAAAGCTCTGTCTTTCTATGCTATTTGATCGTACTTCAACTAATATCATAATATTAAATTATCTTTAAAACCTATTCGGCTGGTTATGTGCCGGTTGTATACTAATTTTGAAAAAATACGAGTGAGTATTTTTTGAATAACTTTTGATACAAGCAAGATAGAGAGCTGAGTTTTTCAACGTTGGGAAGAGGAGATGAAGACGCATCGAATCATATATTATAGGTTTTCTTGATCTGTTTCTTGTAAGGTTTTCAATTGGCCTTTTTAAGAACAAACGTATTTGATAAGTTGGTTACAGTGAATTTTCAATTATCAGTGTAAATTCAACCCACTAATAGCAGATCTACAAAGTGCGGAAGGTTGAGATGAACAATAGGCATTTTAGTCGAGCTTCTAATAGAATTTTCTAGCAAAATCTGTGAAAAAAGCTCACTTTTGTGCTTTTTTCATTTTTCATAAAAAAAACATTTTCCGACACTTACACTTAGAAAATTGAACAAAAATACTTCAGAAATCAATATAAGAAAAGCCTATAATATATGATTCGACGCATCTTCATTTCCTCTTTCCAACGGTGAATACCGTAGCTCTCTATCTTGTTTCTATCAAAATTTATTCAAAAAATACTCACTAGCATCCATGGAACCGTGACACATGCGAACAAAACAGATCTTATCAAAATTTTATTATTCTCCATTCTTTTCTCTATCAGACTGCTTAGAAAGAAAATTTCTTGAAGCTTAATATACAATATTAAAGTGTCACTGCCCGTACTTCTGATATGCCCTAAGTAGTTTTTATTTAACAAAAATTCAATTCAATCGCACTCTTCCTTCTATTTTGATGTTTACTTTATAGCGTATCAGGTTATATCAATTTTTTTCTGCAAACGTGGAAGCTCCTCTCAGAAGAAAGTCTGCATAAATTTTATTTTTTTTTAATTGAGAAAGTGTTGTTTTAAAAAATACGTTGGAGCAGTGTTTTATCGTGGTTCCGTTTTTTGAGTGGACGGTTAAAATTTTTGGAGAAGCTGTTGGCTAAAAAAAATTTTGCTAAAACGAAATCAACTGTTTATTTTCGAGTGGGCGCCGTCCATCCGGCCCACCCACTACATAAATCTCAACTGGAGAGCCTAAACTCAAGGTGATCATTTTTGTCATGTTCTTTCTTCTCTTTCTATTCTCTTTGTTACTTTCGCTTTTTTTTCATCATGTTTCTGATAATATAAATGTGTACACGTCAGACTAGAGAGGCTTGAACTGTTAGTTTATTGTACGATTATGTTTGGTGAAGTCCTGCCGTTGTAACGTATCGCTACAATACCATTGATTGCTCAAATTTCAGCTGACACTGGCTTCGCTTAGAATCATCAAAGGTATGGCCGGCCATAGTTGTATTTGCTACACTCGACTGGCTTTCATATACCTCATGTTAATATTTGATGTGCTTTCCAACCACTTGTCTATTCTTACTTATATTCAGCTCATTTGCTATGTACCGGACTTCTGAAAATATTTAAAGTAACATCCTCAATTGGGTGATCTTTGAACTTGAACTTTCTTTTTACAAACTTTTTATTTTACAAACAAAGCTGACTTTATAAAGAAAGAGCTGCTGTAGGAAAGCAGAAAAAGTATAACATACATATATACACTGCCAGCTGGAGTAACAACACCACAAGAGAGAGAGAATACACGCTTATATCTATAGATTTACTCTTACAGAATTAACACATAAGTAAATTTCTTTTGAAAGTTGTTCGTTAGGCGATCCTTAATGAAGTTTCTTAAGCCCATTCTCTGTCAAAAATGCATCTTGATAACTACAGCTCCGATGCAACTTTTCCTGGAATATTGACCATGCGGATGCTATTCTGCTTTTTGCTTTTATCTATCACCGTTCGCAATATGTCGTCAGAATAAGGAGTGCTAAAGTGAACCGTTTTTGCATAATGGCTTTTTTCGAAAACTTTTCTCCCCCCTCGGGCACACGGAAACTTTTCTTCTCAGATTTTGACAAAATATACCTCATTCGAAGAAAATGGATTTTTTGTATTCATGCTATAAATGACCTATATGGTTAATGGTGTAGCTAGGTGTAACGGTGTGAAGGATATAGTGTGAAAGCCTCCAAGATCACTCAGATATACTCAAAAATGAATGAGCATTCCAAATCTAAGCAAAACATCGCCCCAAACTACCGTTTTCCACTCAAAAGCCATTTTCAAGCCAAAAAACGAGCAAAATGCAAGGGGGAAAAGGCGGCTCCGAGATCCAAGCGGATCAATGCGGATCCAAGCGGATCGGTGCTGTTACAATCGTTTCTGAAAGTGTAAAATGGAATCCGGCCGGGAAAAGAAGTAGAATAGGACCCACAGAAGTCAGTTTAGAAAAACATTCCCCTTTATTGTATATCATCATTTACGAACATCATCCGACGGAATATGACTACGTGATATGTGAACAAGAGACCCCTGTTTCGATCACTCGCCGTGATCAAATTGGATCCCCATATGATTTCCTGAATTCCGATTTTTGCCAAAGTCTAAGCGTTTCCAGCGATTTTTTAGTATAGGCCTAATAAGTTTTCTCCAGAATTCTTCCCTTTTTATATAAAACACAGTTTCTAAAATTAACATATATTCCAGACTTACCGATGTTGATCTTTCTCCGCTGCACGATTTACCATCATGAAAAATGAACTGTAGATAACATCATTCGTAATTCTTCTGTTATATATACTGACGGAGTGCCGTAGTAACAAAAACAATTTCACTCTCACATTTTTAGCAAACTTCACTCTCCCTTGAAAAACATCTTTATTTGCATGCAAAACATTTCACTCTCTCTTTGAAAACATCTCCCCATTTTCAGAAAATTCTTACATAAATTTCACTTTCTCTTGAAACAGTATCTCTGATTCTTTTTTCTACTCATCTGTCTCTTTCTACTGCGCTTGTTCAGAAAATGTATATAAGATGCGTTTATTATTAATAGCAGTCACCATTTCACTAGCATTTATTTACTGATGAAGATAATTTAAAACGTGTCTATATTCTCGTGTACATTCGCCGTTTTCTGTTTTTAAAAGTCACTGTCATATTTATAAATACATATATTTTTCTATTAAAATTAAAAAGTTTTATTATTTAATCAATTTATTCGTTTTTCTACGCCTTTCGCCTCTGCTTCTCTTATTACACAAAACATTAGAAAAATCGAAAAACCAGTTTTTAAAAAGATTTGGTAAGTCATTTCGTTTTCGTTTTCTTTCTGCTTTTATTTTCTCATCCTTTGATTTATTATTAATTGTTAAACATAGTCATATTGTTTTTAGCTCTTGTCCTTTTTCGCACTTATCGAAATTGTTAAAATGTCTGACATTGATGCCTTGTCACTTTCTGGAGCAAATTTTTTTGATTATGTACGTGAGAAAACAAATGATATTATTGTTGATATTCTACAAGTACAAGAAATCTGTTCAACTCGTGCATTATTATGTTGCGATGATCCATTGTCAATATTAGAATATGATTGTGATGAACTAGCTGATATTAAAAGACGTGCTGTATTTTTTTTGAAATTGGGTGGTCATGCTGTTAAAAATGGTGTTAAGGGTAGTATGAAATACTTAATTGATAAGTTAAAGGAAATTGAAAAGAAACATACGAAAGAATCAAAAATCTAGCAGAAAAGCACAACCGATCAAACAATAGCCGTGGCACCAGTGTCTTCTTCCGGCAATTCTCTCTCTTCTAATGCGGTACCTTCATCCTCAATAGTCGTTCAACCATCAATTGTTCATACTCAGTCATCTATTTCGATCACATCAACGTTAAAACTTGTGAGCAACGTAAAGATAATGTAGAAGATATGATACAACATTTAACATTTAACATTTAAAAATAGTCAAATATATAAAAATTTATAAAATAACGGATCTTCTTCTCTTTTTTTTGTTAAGATCATTGAGGCTGGAAAGTCACGGTACATAGTAAAACAATATGAAAAATAATATAAATTCTCTTAAACATCCTAAAAAAGATTTAACATCCATTCAACAAAAATTTTTAATAGACTTGTCATAAAAAATAATTTTTTTGTAACAATGAGGATATTTTTTTTCCTCACATAATAATTTTATATTGAACTATAATTCGACTCCTTCCTTCCTATAAAAAAAGATACTAATATTATTAAATAAGTCATCATATTACTTTTCAAAAGATTGGTCAGGAAGAAAACATTTTAAAAACAAAGATAAAAACTTTGCAAAAATAAATGCTAATATTTCTAAATCTAAAATTGCCATTTCAGACAAATAAATATAATAGTAAACGCTTCGGCGAAAAAAACAAATCAGAGATTTGTTGCATAGTATTGTTTAATTTTTAAAATTATAGGATTCTATTCCACCTATCATAAAGTTTCAACTAATCAATCTGTTATTAATCTAATAGTAACCAAAATAAAAAATAAAATAAACTTTATAACAATTATATCTATAAATAACAATAAAGGAATACAACTTACAATAACGAATTCTAAATCTAAAATTAAAAATGAAATTTAAAAAACATCAAATCGTAAAGAAATAGGAATTAAACTAACATTATAAGAATCAAAACCACATTCAAACACAGTAGATTCCTTACTAAAATAGAACTTTATTATGCCTAACTCAAATAAAATAAATAAAACTAAAGATAAAATAATAGAAATAACAAAATATAAAAATAAAATTCACATTAATTACCTCATCAATAAATAAACACAAATAAAAATAACCAAACTTCATCAACAAGATGTCAATATCAAGCAGAAAACTCAAACCCTAATGTATCCATGTTTCTATAGATAAGAATAACATTCGAACTAATCTAGCTAAAATCATAAAACAACCTAATAAAACATGAAAATCATGAAAACCAGTAGCTAAAAAAAGTACCCTCTCATAACCACTTCTCATAAAATTAAATGAAGCATCAGAATATTCACCTACTTGAACTAATAAAAAATAAACTTCTAAAATTAATGTAATAGTTAAACTAATAATACTTTTAAATCAATTATTACTTTTAAAAAATGCTAAAATGAGCCCATGTAATAGTTACACCAGAAGATAAAAGAATTAAAGTATTTAATAAGGGAACACTAAAAGGCTTAACACTTACGATTCCTTTAGGTAGTCAAACCCCATCTAATTCTATAATACTCCAAACTTTTAAAACCGGATTCAAATAGTCTACACTTAAATGTCTATGAAAAACAGAATCTATATTTTTGCTCTCCATTTTCTCGACGCTGAATTTGTCATCGAGCGGACTCTAGAAAGCCGTCCAGAACTTAGAAAGTAAAAGTCCTAGAAGGCTCAAAATTTGGATTTATAGGTACATCGAAATTTTTGGTATCTCAAATTTCACCGAAAGATACATTATCCAACGTAGAATTTCGCGCTGATTACGAATATCGGCTTGATCTAACGCTAAAATCTTACTACATTTACCAAATCACTCTTTTAAACTGAGGGTATTGTCGACCATCGTTAACTTTTTCTCGTCAGCCGACTCACTAACGTGTTTCAAAAAATTTGAAACACACAGCCGTGTTCAGAATTGATTTTTCTATCTGAAATATGTCAAAATTAAAAATTAAAACACGATTCTGTATTTTTTTGTAGGTTAAAAACTGAAGAAACGGCGAAAAATACCGTTTTTTGGGCACTTCGATCTAATATTATAGGAAAAAAAAGTTTTGATCCCATGACTGAAATACGTGGCTCGACTTAGCTTTTTACGCTCATTCCGAGTATGACCTCAAAATCGGAGAAAAAGTTACTGAAAATGATTAAAAAAGCTCAAAATACGTACATATGTTAGGGGAAAATCCAGGGGGGAATAAGCGGACTTCAGGACTCTTGGCAGCCATCCTCTTTCTCTTGACAATGACCCTAAACTATTAGGTTTACGTCTTTCGCACGATCTTAAGTGGTCTACCCACATTAGTGAACTTGCTTTGCTTTGCAGGCGTATGCTAGGAGC